TTTTAAGTTTACTATAATGGAATGGTGTGATGAATAACACTTAATAATATTGAAAGTAATAATAATAACCCATGATTCATTTAGTATTTCTGTGTGTTTTATTCAAGTTTTTATTTTGTCGCTTGTCTCTAGCAAATGAAACTGGATGCAATCTGTTAAGGACACTAGCCAGAAGGCTCATTTTTATTTAATTGATTATTGATTAGTTTAATAATTTTCAGAATGATCCTAGATATGAACATAGTTTCCATGTTTGTTTAATTTCTATTGGTTTTGTAATTGGACCTTTCAGCGTCACCACGTGCATATAAAAGCGAGTTTAGTGTCCCTGTAATCAGTTCTTTAGGAGTTTTTTGAGTAGTATTAGTGAACTTTCGTTTATTTGTCTCTCAAATGTGAGTACCTTTGTACCTTTGTTTATCTAACTTTAGTTTTCCAGCATTGGGCAAAAGTATATAAACAGATATTTGGTCACCACAAGCACTGCACACAATCAATAGACTGACTGGAGGGAGCACAAAGATGTTTTGTTTATTTGCAACATCTTGGTTTGTGTGTATGGTTTTTTTTTTGGGTGTCTAAAAGTCACATAAAAGTGGGGTTCTGAAACAGAATATAATCTGAAAGAGGTGCTTATAAAAACCTGCAGACCTTGCTGTCTAAAGCAATGCAGAGGTATGCTCTTCAGCATATTTTTGCGACCATTTTCTTTAAGAGGAGAAACATAACAAAACAGACACATAACACAGACAGAAACATAACTAACCCATCAAAGTATTCCAATCATCTGATGACAACACTTCCTTTAGATGTGAATCATTCTTCTCAACCTACGTATGACTCTGTCATCAAGCACAGCAAAGTGTGAATGAGGACTTTCATTGATGAACCACATTAAAAGCTCTGCACAAACCTGTAATGAAACAACTGTAATGAAAATCTGCTCAAAAAGTTGCTCAAGTTTCCTGGAGATAGCCAAAATATGGCCTATGCAGATCAATTACAATAAACCCTCTGAAGTGACAAGTCTGAACCAACAAGAGAGTTATGCAGTTATTAAGAAGGAACCCAAAGGAGTGGAGTGGTCATCTATTCAAGATAGAAGAACCTCTCTTCATTAGCCATGTTCCAGCAGGTTGCACATGGAAATATTAATATTAAGAAAGATATACATCATACTCCTTTATCTCAAACTTTGAGGAGTGGTAACACCAAGACATTTTTAACATTACATTCAATTTGCAACCAGCCCGAGATAACCTCTTTCCTATTGTCAGTTAAGCAGTAAAACAAGCCTCCAGGTTGTATTGTTGACATAGAGAATGATTCTAAATTATAGAGTCCACTGCATGAACACCTTAGCAAAATAAGAGAGTGGTTTTGATTTATTCATATATTTATATATACATATTCCTAATTTAAATTGTTTATTTCATTGTATAATTTTTATTCGTTTCATGAATAGACTATTTATAAAATGTATAAATTGTTGTATGTATATATATATATTTTATCTTAATTGATGTGATGCTTATATCACTTTATCAGCCAAAAGAGTAAAAATAGAGGCATCCATAACATTAAATATGATTGATGCTTTGTGTTGAATACCGTTAATGAAAAAATTCCTCGTGGTAGATCATTTTGGCTTGTCACATCCACATCCTAATTTCACAGACCTTTCAGTGAATCTTCAAAGTTGTTTAACTCAAAAGATGGCACTCAAATATTTTAAAGGGGATTTGTTGCAATTTGGTGCTGTAGAGGAAGCCAAAACACAGTAGATGCAGATCAAATTATGCAAACCAACAGAAACCCTCCCACACAACAAGTGCAAACCAATAAAAGAATTACATAAGATGAATCAACTGTAAGATAAAATACAATAGGGCCACATAGAACTCAAAGGTAGAAACAATTATCCACCCCTTAACACACCAGTGAGGAAAGGCATTCTCCAGAGAGTTTATAGAATACCAGCAAACTCAAATGTAACAACCATCATAAGAACCTTGTTATGTAATTCTATGCATCAACTGTATGATTGCCTTGTAGAAAGCATCACTCCAATCTGGAAAGAGCAGCAGATCATGATGACAAAGAAGTCAACCCTGGCAGACATTGCCAATCATCATAAACAGATAATAATTGGACTATGAAAGGGGGATGTTGCAGCAATTCTTTTAAAGATGACAGATCTCTGATTGTCCTTTTCATTTCTCATTTTAGGCCCCTGGTGACATAAAGTAATTCATCAGGAAAGAAACCACAAGCAATTCACCTACACTTCTGGCATTTAACCTTGTGGAAGAGAAGTCAACTATTCATTTCATCTATAAATCAAGCTGCTGCATAGCAACTGGTCACAGTTAAAGCAGAGGCTGCCCATGTATCGGGTGTTAAGAAAATATCAACTCTACACCAAGGAGTGTTACGTAAGCAAGAGGAAACAATACATGACACAACAGCCTCCATTAAACTTGTGCTATGGGAGTCTTGAGTGGACTCATTAGAAGTAAACAAAACATACCTTCTACAGAATCTTAGGGTGAAAACAAACAGAAGTGAAATGTACCTCAACACAGCAAAAGACAAACAATTCATTTGTAAAGAGGACCAACCGTAATGTGTAATATTGAAAACAAAACAAAATGACACAATGGAATTGGTGTGTAATTATAACTAGTAGTGCAGTAACTATCTCACAAGCCAAGTAAAATGACTCTGAAAAAAGGAATTAGACATTTTTAAACATCCTAAAATAAAAAACCATACCCCACTCCCTTGCCTGTTGGTCGAATGCATCTCCCAAATCTCCGATTATTGCCAGTATTGTTATTAAATAAACATTATTATCAGTATCCATATTCTCCATACTAATCTCTAGACATTTCCTGGGGTTTTGACGAGGAGAATTTGTTCCTCTCCTTTATTCTCATGACCTTTAAAGTTTAATTTAGGGATGATGTTGTAAGGAGAAATTAGAAGTTAGTTTCTCTTAGGGGTTAAAGGGTTAAATACAAGCAGATTTCAACAGCATCACTTTTTCAAACTTGATAGGAAGTTTGTGATTAGTTTATAAAGTTCACAATAAAGTTATTGAAGAGCAATTCAGTGGTGTTTCAGTACGTTGCTTGCATTTATTGTCTTTTTACTCAGTTGTCAACAAAGAACTTGAACATTCTTGGTGAAGCTCAACCCTTCAAGGTTGATAAGGTGCCAGTTACAGGTCCATTCATGGTCCTTACTTCAGGGATTTTCCTTGTTTCAAGGTTCTTACTGCTCCTCATCTTTAGATGCCCCGTGTCATTCCTTGAGGAACAGAAATCTTAAAGTAAGGCATCTTTGTAGTCCTGGACTGAGAACTGTATGCCAATTTTTAAGGGCCAAATGTTCTTCATGTCAGGACACTGGTTTTTACTTTCAGGAAAAGCATTCTTTATATGAGAAATTTTCCAGTCTTTATTTGAGGACTCTTCCTCATTTTAAGTTCTTTGTGTTTGTCATTTTCTAATACCTTCCCTATCCTTATTTTGCGGAGACCAAACCTCGAATCCAATAATTAGGATCGGCACATGAAAAGTTTGACATTTGAATTAATTAGGTTCAACAGATTTGTATTTGGATCGACTTGCCACTCTACTTGACCAGGCTTGTCGAATAGATTGGCAAAAGATCAACTTCATATCATATGTCAAACCATTGCATGTGCCAGATCTAATGCATACATTACAAATACATTAAATAAATAAATTTTTACCCAGAGTTCTCCACATTTTTTATGTTTGTAATGCGCACACAACTTGTTTTGCAACAAAATGGCAGGAAGAGCAGAAAATATGTGTTCCTCTAGCTGCAAGAGCACAAGATATACATGTCTGAAGTGTGTGAACTACTTCTGTATGCCACCAGCCAGAGTTTCTTTTTAGTTGAGGACAAGTGCAAACTGGATGAGGAACAGTGATGTTTCTTTAGGAAATGAGCAATAATAGAAGGCAAGCTAAATTCAAAACTTGTCTTCTTGTGGCAGCAAAACCTTCAATCATCTCTTACAAAAAGGGAAAATCCCTTAAAGACATGTTTGTGTGAGCAAAAAAAACATAATTTGAAGACGATAATGTGACGCATCCACAAAAGCCACATGGGGGGGGTCCGTGTCAGTCTGTCTTTACCTTTAATCTCACTGCATCTTGAGTTACCTTCATCACACTTGCAAGAAAAATATTCATTTGTCATGTTCACTTTTCCAATCCAGTTCGACTTAATTAGGTTCAACATTTGAATTAACAGCTGAACTTTATTATTTGGGTCAACCCAAATTGGTATTAGGTTCTGCACATGTAAAGTTCGAGTTCCAAAAGTTCCAAACTGACGTTTGGTCTGTCCGATGTATTTGTTGTCACAGTCATTGCAAGGAATAGAATAAATGGCGTCGGTTTGTTGTTCTTTCATGACAGGATCCTTAGGTACATGGTTAAAAGAGCACCAAAAAGCAGTTTTCCTTTGCAAAAAGGAAAATTCAGCTTTATGGGAGCATACATGCCTAACTAACCATACAATTGGGTGGGATAATTCTAAAATTATCACCACTGATCAGCGTTACCACCAGCGCCTTTGTTTGTAGGCTTGGCATATTAACTCCGCCCACGCTCCTTTAAATCGTGACGATGGCGGTTTGCTTCCTGACGCCTATTTACACCTCGTCAGAAAAAGGCCACTAATTAGTGATCATATAAAAGGACCTCTTGTTGCAGCGTTTAGATCACCCCGTTTAGATCACCCCTGGTGAAGGCACTAGACAGGAGTGTCGAAACGTTGGGTCTATGAATTGTAACTTCTTCGGTTACATTCATTAAATCTGCAGACCAGAGTAGCATCAAACTATGTCTGATTGTCCACCTGGTTACCGTGTGAACTTTAATATATTATATCCTCATGTGTCTATCGCAAAACGATAAGCGTGGAACTTTTGACAGCTATTCGCTTGATCCTGGTTACTAAGTAAACGACGAAATGAGCTGAGGAAATCGGACGTTCCAGTATTCAATGCCATTTCAGCAGTATCTTCTAGTATAAAGACATGATAGCCCCAGCTAAAAAAGTAGATAAAAGCTCAAAAACAGTACCTATTAGCGTTGCCTGTGTTGGGTTGAATTCTCTAGAGTCGTCGCACCTATCAACTGCTCACACTTGGAAGGAAAGCGGAGAGACCTGACAAACAAAACATCAAAATGATTAAGGCAACGATCACTTTGTAACAGCACCGATTACATTTCCATCAACTACCACAAAACTGAAGAGATTATAGGGGTGAAAAGTACATCTACCAGAACAGAGAGGTTCATTCCATTGCCGCGATACCTGAGAACGGCTCGCATAGGCACCAAGCCTTCGATTTCGAGGCAGTAGAACTGTGGTGTAATCATCACGATACGTATCAGAGCACACAGGCAACATCAACGACATGTTCGAGGAGCAAGTAAGCTGATTTGTCAGATTTGGTGTGTCCAGTCAAATGACGGCTCCCTCAGTGATTTAAAATATTACATTCTTAGAAAAATTAACTAACAGGAAACCTGGCATTGATCTTATAGATTGGCACGATAAAATTCATTAGAAGCCCACAACAAGCTCCTGTTCAAAGTCACTTGGTAATAATTCCCTGGAGTTGAGCGCGACATTTCGTAGACAACGATTTTAAATCGCTAAAATTTCTCCTATTTATTATTATGCTTACATCTTACTAGCGCTGTTAGACGTAGACAATGTTTGGGTCGCTTGTGGGGGTCGCTTGTGGTACTTGAAGCTCGAAAACGAGAGGGGCAATCTGGCAGTTTTGAAAACTTTAAGAAACAAGGCAAGTCCTGAAGTTAGGAAGACAATGCGAAAGTTCCTACCCAGAAATAATCATGTACGAAACAAAGACCGCCAGGGTCCAGCGGTAGTAATCAGGTTGGCTGAAGAAAAGCTTATCGAGTACCTCCAGCAGCTGGACTTCGTAAACCACACAATTATCCCAGAAATGAATCACTTTACTGAGCATAACAGAGTGGGAATGTATCCTCATCCCATCAATATCGCCGTGGGTCCCTACAGCAACCTGTTGTTTCTCACCATGAATCAAGAAACGGGTATATGAAATTTGTGTATGGCTCAGTTGCACAACCCAGTTCAAAATGTTGAAGTTCTTAAAGAGTCTGTTGCTGCCAAAGAAGTCCACTTCAAGAACAATGTCGTATCTCTAGCTAGCAATGACGGTCCAATCAAATTCCACAAGGTGGTCAAGGGAAGCGTTTGCGTCGATGTCAATGAACTAAGAAACCGTGGCGAAGTGTTGGAGAAAGTAAATGAACTCGGCTTTGCTCCTGGCGGAACTGTGATCAAAATGAATTCTCGCATCGAGAAATACGTCTCTGAGTTAAAACGCGATTATGAAGCGAGAGGATTCCACTCAGACCAGATCAACTTCTGGGATGCTGAGAACCAAAACACTTTTCAATTTGAGGCTAATCCGGTGTCCCGGCGGATTTGGACCCCCGTAGATTTGGACCCCCCGGTCCAAATCCGCTAGCGGATATGGACCCCCCCTGTTAAAATTAGAAAATAAGATTGAGTTCGATGTAATAGTCTCCACTTTTGTTAAGACGTACACATTAGTGTTGATTTGCATCTGAAAATAAGCTGAGAGTTCCAATAGTTCATAAGAATAGAAACATTTTTACTTATCATAGGCTTTACGAACGACTTGTAGTAGGAGTAGTTTCTTCGTTCTTGTTCAGAAACTGTTTAATGTTATTATTTTAGAATATCAGACTGAGTTATTTTTGTGACAAGACGCTGAATAGTCTCCACTATTTTTATGACGTTTCGTATCAATGTTGATTCGCATCAGAAGAAGCAAAGATTTATTGTAACAATTTCAATAGTTCAAATGCAGTAGTTTGTTCACATCTAACTCTTGCATATACTGTATGACTCGCTATAATAAATGCGGTAGAATTGGAACGAAATGGCTGGGTTTTTTTTACCTTTATTGATATTGTGTTGTGATTGAAAAGAACATCGACAAAAAGCTTGCAAATAGAATTAGTTACCAAATATGATACAAAGGATGCTTAAAAGGAAAGTCTGGTAGGGGGGTCCGAATCTGCGAAGGGGGGGGGTCCAAATCCGCGGGGGATCCAAATCCGCTGTGACACCGGCACTTGGTTGATGCTGGTTTCGTCTGGGGCCTGCGTAAAAAGTTATTCTATTCTTGCCATCAATTTGAAGATGGATATGTGTATTCTCGGACAATGCTTATACACCTCCCATTTTCAGGGTATTTACGAGATCTCTTTTTCGTCCTTGACTAGGGTGCGCGTGATTTGTCTTGGTGTTTCATACATCTCACTGAGCTCAAGTATCGTTTCATATATAACTGCCATTCTATATGTTGATCCAAAAGCCACCGATCCTGCGTTGGAAGGAAAACTTCAACGAAGTAGTTGTCTTTGCTGAGACTGGTAGAGCTGGAAATATGGATAGAATGGCCATTAGGACAGAGTTCTATCAACCAGTTCGATCATGTTGGTTAAGCCTGTGATGCGCAGACAAATTGTATTAAGATCTTAACTTCACTAAAGCAAACCGCTGAATTTTTGAATGTATTGGGCAAGATTTACAAAGCTTTTTCAGTTCATGAAAAGCACCAGGCTTACAGGCTCTCTAGTATTCAAAAGGCGGTCGGGCTGGTCAGCGACACTCTTCAGTTTCTGTAGAGGAATGAAACTTCAATCAGAAGCGAGGTTGCCAATTTACCAAAAACCCTCAATGGCCCACACGGTAACGTGGCGTCTTAGACTGTTGTTACGCGAGAAACTTTGGAAACGCAGCCAAGGAAGGCTTAAAGAGGACAACCCATTGGGCGGCATACTATTTTACAAATCCGAAGTCTTGGTATACTGTACCCGAACGTCCCATGATCCTGTCAGCCATACCAGTAATTCAACCGTTACATCTTAACTAGAAGTGAAAATACGACCTGAAAGAAGTTGAGGCCCGTATGGGATTTGAACCCATCACCTCTGCGATTCCGGTGCAGCGTTCTACAAACTGAGCTAAAAAGCCAACTGTTATGTTGGTTTTAAATAAACCCTCAAATGGTGAATTAATGACTGCAAATGTACGAAAATCATGTAAATGTGAATTGCGGTTGAAGAAACGAATAGGAAGGCGATCCTCTCAGTTATGAATACCACTTAACTAGTGGGCCCTTTTAAGTTGAGGTATTGGACGCAGAAAAAAATTTATGAACGGGATCGGGATTCGCCGGTATAAACCATCGGGATTACGGGATTGAGAGATAATTTTAGTAGGGATCGCGGGATTGAAGAACCCTATTGGGGACCTTTTAAATGCATCTAGGCCATCAAATACTTTTTCAGGATTCTTTATAACTTGCTATATCAGATCTTCTGAGTGCAAACGACTCAACAGTTCTGTGAGAGAAATTTTCCCCACAATATCGGTATTGAACCATCCGAATTAAATCAAGTACAAATGGTCAGAGTTTTTGTCACTATCACGCAGCAACTCACTCTTGCTCAAGTTACGCGAAAGTTTTGTACACAAAAGGGATTTTCAGATTACTTGGCGGTCAAACACGAGAATTTTACAGGGACTGTTTGTATCTTTGTTAATGGGGGAAACAACTCGCCAAGTTTTCCTATGGATTCATCTTGTCGCCTCAAATAGATTTCGAATATTTCGTGTCTCACCACCATGTCCTCAAACTCGTGCATCGCTCTTCCCGTATAAATGACAAGTTCAGCAAATATGTCCTTTGAGGTACGGCCCTTGCCACTAAAGTACTGCTTTTGGCAGAATTCTGAGTCGAATATGAACTCTTTGCTTCGAATTGCTTAAAAGACGAGATAAAATATCTCTCCCGAAACGTATCGCTACGAAGTAGCCAAAATGACTGAAGTGTTTTGCCATTAGATACTACTTAAGATTTTCCATTTTTACGATAAAGAAGCGGAAATACCGGTATTCAAAAAGCGTGATGAGGAATGGGGTTGAGTTTGTGTTCATGAGATGCCCCTGCCACCCCAACTTGGTATTTTTTTCCAGCTGATCGATGCAGCTTTTCGTTAAAGAGATTCTAGTTCTTTCTTGAATTTTTTGAAGGTTTTCTTTTACAGAGAGATGAACAAGTCAAGCCTGAGTTGATAACGTAAATTGGCCACCGTAAAGAGGTGTAGTATCTTATAGAGTCTCTCGCACTGACGCAGCACCACAGTTTCTTTAGAAACTTGCTCGTCTCTAACAATTCTGAATAAATCTGGAAGGTAAATATCAGGCAACATTCTATACGAAAAGCCGCCATTTAATTGTTTTCTAACGATTTCTGAACAATTAGCTTAAAAGTCCATCTAGACAAACTTCAAAATTTCCAGAAGTTTCCCACATTTTTGTAAACAAACCTGTCAAACGTTTCGAAGTTCGCTCTCTTCTGATGGTCAACCAATCAGACCATTCAAAATGCCCTTCTAAACCAATCAGAGATCGCTTAGCGGATTTCCGCTGGTAAGTTTGCCGGCGCAACCTCCGGCATGCAAACGGTTTAGTAGCTGGGTTCCAACGGGTTTCCTGTAATTTGTAAACCGATTTTCTTTCTTCGGAATAAATAGTTAGCTTTTCTGATGTTCTGTTTGATTTCTATAGAACATGGCTGATTCAATATCTACTCGTTGTGCGAAACTCAACCAGATTTTTGCCGGAAAAAATGTTGGTCGTAAGTCGTGCGGAACTTTCACTCGCGAAGCACTTTTGGATGCCTTTCTGCTACTCTTCGATGAATGTAACTCGGAGTACATGCTCAAGGACAAGAATGTTTCTGGATTTGTCAAGAAATGTAAGTATCAGAACTATTTCGCTATTTTTACTCAGTGATAAAGTTTTAAACGAGTGTTCAGCTGGATTGGAAAGCTTTGTTACTTTGCATCAACATTCGTGTCTACAGCTGTAGTCCTTGTAAGTTTGTAAGAGTGTTAGACTTGCCATCTTTGATTAATTAGGTCTTTTTTTGTAATCATTTACCTGATGATTATGTGTGGAAATGTATTAAGAACAATTTCAGTTCCAAAGTTTAAGGATACAATGGAGTTTCTCTTCAAAAATTGACCTGTGAACAATCCATGGCAACCTATGTATCCAACTGTATGTTCGTAAGTACATGTACGTTCAGTAATACTGTTTTGCCTCATGGTATTATTTAATTAAGTTTCCATTCTTATCCTTTTTTTCTTCAGATCAGCCCATGGTTGATGATCTTCGAAAGATTTGCTTATGCAAGGATGATTTCGAGGTTTTGAACACTATTGGCAGAGGGCATTTCGGACAGGTATTGTTGAAATATCACCGGCACATTTAATAATAAAAATCGAATCCGATCGAAAAGTGACTATTTTACATGGAATTTAATCTATTTCGAAGTTTGAAGGTTTCCATCAGACGTTAAAATTGCAACGAAAGGAGAATTTACTTTTGGAAAGTAACCGTACGAAATTCCATAAATGTTTTTGACACTTTGAAAATTTCTATTTATAGTTTACCCAATGGAATCTCAAAACTTACATGAACAATATAGTGGTTTGGATACTGTTTTCATTTTACTTTCAGATTAAAATATTATATTAAGCTTTTTGAAAAGTTATTGGTAGGATGAAACATGCCTCTAGTGTCTTTTTTATTCAAACTATCAAAACAGGTTCAAGTTGTCAAAGACAAACACGGTGGGGATGTGTTTGCTATGAAAACATTGAAGAAGAGTCAAACACTGGCTCAGGAAAGTGTGAGTATATAGATAAACCGAGCATTGTTAAGCGGACATTAAATGTTTCTAACATCCCATGATGCTTAGCAACGTGTTCTCTGTTAAAAACACCCTTAACAGAATAGAAATTTATTTATTTAATGGTGTGCATATTTATGAAGTGAGAAATACCTCTTGATGTTTTACATCAAGAAGTTCTTGCCAATTATTGTATTGTAAACTGTAAGTTGTCAACATTTTAAATCATATGGTCATCAGCTGTCACACCAATTTATTATGATTAATATTTTTACCATTTTTAAAGTATTTAATGATACATGAAGAACAGTGCTGGAGAGCAGCATCTTTGCTGGTTGTAGTAGTCATTAGTATCTACCACATGAGTGAATTACACTTTTTGCATGTGCAGATAGGTTAGTGTAAAAGTGAATATCAAGTATCATTCACCTCTGAGCAGCCAATGAGACAGAATTATTATTATTAAACAATTATTCACTCTAGGTCAGTGAAAGTGGTGGATATTTATGTGTACCTAGCCACTTATTGGCTTGGTAAATATCCATCACTATTCATCTCCACTTGGGTGAATAATGGTTAATTGTGGCCTTAACAGTCTTGTATGTGTACATCTGGAGCTATTGAAGATTCTTATACTTATTTTGTTGATGATGGCAGTGGCAATCTTAAATTGCTTGCTGAATAGTTTACCTAATGTAACGCTTTTCCTTATTCACAGCTTATTCTTTACTACTGATCTTTTATCAAAAGGTTGCTTTCTATGATGAAGAAAGAGAAATAATGGCACTATGCAATAATCCTTGGATAACATCACTACAATACGCTTTTCAAGACATCAATAACTTGTATCTTGTGATGGAGTATCACCCTGGTGGAGACCTATTGTCTTTGTTAAGCAAGTATGACGATATACTAGAGGAGGATGTTGCACGGTTTTATCTTGCTGAGATGGTCATGGCTGTTCACAGTCTTCATGTGTTAGGCTATGTGCACAGGTAAATTCCTCTTACTGCTGGTGTTAGAATTTCAAAAGCCAAAATTCTTAGACTTCTTTTCGTCACATATTATAGATTTGTTACCTCTGATTTACATTGTGTGGTAGTATCATGATAATACACCTGTACATTAGAAATCTGACAGCCTGGTCTGAGTAGAGTAGTTCATAGTTACTGTAATAGAAATCTGAGTGAAAGTTAACAATATTCATGACAGAAGACACAGTTATAACAGGGACTTACAAGTGTACAAACTTGCTGTACCTTTTTTCAACAGGGATATTAAGCCAGACAATGTCCTTCTTGATCGAACTGGACACATTAAATTAGCAGATTTTGGTTCATCAGCCAGACTTTCAGCAGAAAAAAAGGTAATACATATTACTTAAATTAATTTATCCTTAATTAAATATATTTATGAAATCAAGGGGAACTTATATTAGTGACTCGTAATCTTTTAAGAGATTTTAAAGTTTGCAAGGCCAAGAGAAGTCTTTTTTTTGTAAATTGTTAGGTACTTTATGCAAAATTTCCATGTAGGAAATCCTTACTTGAAGGTTAACAAGTTTTTATTTTTGAAAATAAAGTAATTTAGACTGTCTTCATCCAATTATTGTTTTGATTGTCTTTATGGTTACTGAATATTACTGCAGATAGTTTGCTTATTA